TCATGGTTGTTTTTTGTTTTTGGCTAAAAACAGAATCCTGAAACAGAATTACTCCTCATTCTTCAAGTCAAGATTGCAACAATTTCATTTCATTTATTAGGAAAGGCGACACATCAACTCTGACTTTGCTTAAAAAATGATTAAAAGTCCTTCATGTAGTAATTTGCTTACAAAATGATTGAAACAGTCCTTCATGTGGAAATTACTAAATTGATCTGACTAATTTTTGCTTAGTAATTTGGGTAGTTTTTTTTTTTCCACATAATTTTTTTTTAGTTTTTTCAATTTAAAAGTTAATATTTTAAAGTTTTAAAAATTAAAATAAATGTCAAATCATCATATTCCTTTATAGATAATCATAAATGATGAACAATCATTATTTAAAGGGCAATTCTAACTATTAAAAATTTAATGGGACTTGAAAGTCTAAAAAATCTTAGTTAATACTTAATGGAGTATCAGTTTTTTGAATCAAAAGAAAAAAAATGAAGTATAAATTCATAAATTAAGATTTGTGTGTGAATAGTCCTTAATTTTTTTATTTTTTGCTTCTTTGTTACTTTTTCACATCTAGAAATATACCTTTTAAGAACTGAACTATGATTGTAGTAATCAATCCAAATTGAATAGATATTCAACCCATATAGATTATTTGAAACACAATAAAAATTCAACTCACAGTCCAAAGAAACAAACAGAGAAATTCATGAACAATTGAAGAGAATATCTTATTTAAGAAAAGGATGGCAAATTTTAAATTAAATAAAAATTAACAAAATCATCTCTAAAAAATTAGATTAAAAATTAGGGCACTAATAGATTGAAGGCAGAAATCAAAATTCAGCAAAGTCCTCAAATAAAAAAAATTTTTTAAAAAAAGAGCAATTAATTCAATAATAAACAAAAAAAAAATAATACTTGATTAATGAGGAAAGTCTTCAAATAAAAAAAAATTAAAAAGCAATGAATTTTAAAAATAATTAGGGTACAAAAAAAATAATGGGATTTTTATTAATAAATCACATTTAGAAGTGTTCTAACCCAAGAAATATATGAAGGAATAAGGTTGAGAGATTTTCCACATGATATTCGTAGAAGAGAGAGAGAGAGAGAGAGAGTTATTGATTCAAATATATGAAACACGCATATTGGCTTGAGGCGTTTTTGGTCTTTGTACAATGAATAGGACTTAATAGAATACTCTAAAATGTTTTGGATTGTATGAAATATAACTCTTAGAAAAAGGATTTACTAAAAAATTACTTCCAAAAATAAATAAATTTAGGACAGAGAAAGAGTGAACAAGGAGACTCACAGTTATTGCTACAATGAGTCAAATTTGTAATGGGCCTTTTGTGTTCTAACTAAGCCTCCGTTTGGAAAATGGCTTTTTAATTTTTTGATTTTTTTGATTATTTTAACCTGGGGCTAAAAAGCCTGGTTTGGGAAGGATTTTTTGACTTTTTTAGCATTTTGGCTTTTTGGTGAGATGTCTTCCTGTCAAATTACCAAACTGCCCATTTTGCCCTTTTTTTTTTAATTTTTTATTTTGGATTTGGATTTGGCATATTTTGCTTAATTTTTTTATTTTTTTTTAAATTTGGGTTTAGATTTGGCGTATTTTGCTTAAATGTTTTTTTTTTTTTGGGTTTGGATTTGACATATTTTGGTTTTTTTTTTTTGTTTTTTTTTTTATGTTGGGTTTCGATTTGGCATATTTTGATTAAATTTTTATTTTATTTTTTTTGATTTGGATTTGGCATTTTTTGCTTAATTTTTTTTGTTTTTTATTTTGGGTTTCGATCTGGCGAATTTTGCTTAAATTTTTTAATTTTTTTTTATTTTGGATTTGAATTTGGCATATTTTGCTTTATTTATTTTTTTCTTTTAATTTGTTTATTTTGGGTTTGGATTTTTCGTATTTTGCTTATCTTTTTTTTCTCTATTACTTTTTTTTATTTTGGGTTTGCTTAAATTTTTCGAATTTTTTTTTTTAAATTTATGTTTTTGTCTTTTTTTTGTTTTTTTTTTTTTACATTAATTAGTTCTTGTTCTTTATTTTTATTGGTATACAAATTTTTTTTTTTTATGTATGTGTTTCATTTATTTGTAAATTACGTCGTGAATGATAATTTATGTTTTCATGTTTTTTTTTTAAATGTTTTTGAATGTGGCGTAATTTTGTCGTTATTTTTTCAAAATTTACGATTTTGTCATTGTCTTATTCACTCACATTAATTTGTTTTTATATTTAAAAAATGGATTTTCTCTCGTTTTATTTATTTGTAAATGACGTGGCAAATGGTAATTTCTGTTTTTTTCTTTTTTTTTTCCTTTTTTTTTTGGATGACGCCTATGTTTGTGGTTCTTCTTTTTTTAATTTACGTTTCTGTAATTTTTTTTAATTTGTATACAGTAATTTGTTTTTATATTTGACAAATGTGTTTTTATCTGTTTTATTTATTTGTAAATTACGTGGCAATGCTAATTTCGGTTGGTTATTTTGTTTGGAAAAATGTTTTTTTTTTCAATTATTCAAAATACAGTGGAAAATCATATATTGCCGTGGCACATGACAAAAAATGAGGGTCTATTTTGGTTTTCTTGTTGTTTTCAACTTTTGTTTTTATGTTTTTAATTGACGTCACCCATGGCCATTTCTGTATTAGTTTTCTTTTTTATTTTTTGTAATTTGTTTCACCTTTTTTTGTTTTTCGAAAAAAAAAATATCTACCTTGGATTTTGGTTTTTCAAAGTTAGGCACAGCACCAACTGGAAGGGGCTACATTCCCGTGGAAACTCATACATATTATACATGATACATTTTTTTGAATACAGTCTGTTCCACGTGTGTCATTAGTAATGTTACAACCATACGAAAATTAATTCGACTATTATATATTTCCTAACATTCCGTTACTACGCATGTAACATAATTTGTCGCGTATGTGAAGGCGCACCAATGCGATATGGGGGTCCTCATCCCCAACCATTAAACCATCATCGTCATGTTCAACTTCTAGTATGGCATTTACTATTGTCATAGCCTCTTCCTCATCACAGATTGGGTGCACAATCTTTGGGTTACATGTGTTTCGCCGTATATAATTATGTAATGCCATTGACGCACCTACTAACTGAGCTTGCACATTTGCAAAGTCATACTGAGGCATGTCTCGAATACACCCCCATCGATTTTTTCAGGCACCGAAAGTGCGTTCCACCACACTGCGTAAGGACGAGTGCACTTTGTTAAATAATTCCCTTAGCGTGTTTGACGTCCTGTTCCGTGCAATACGTCAGAATTCTTGTTGGTGGTAACGGTGGCCTTTGAATAGTGCTAAGTAACCTATCTGGTTTGGATAGCCAGAATCGACAAGATAATATTTGCCTGCAGACATGACAACAATGTATGACACGAAAACCAAACATTGTGCTTCATTTTCAAGTAACGCTATTTCCGGAAAAAAAAAATGTATAGCCCTATAAATCTAATTCATGGCCATGTGTTACCTTCGTCAGGATGTGGGAATGGCACATTGTCATTCGTTAGTATCTCGTTGAATATGCGACTATCATGCATACTTCCTTCCCATCCGCACGAAATGAATATGAAACACATGTCAAAATCCACTGCGCCCATGATATTTTACGTGTGACAGTATTTCCTACCAAAATATGTTGCTGCATCTGGCCCCGTAACCCATGCACTTACATATGTTCCGTCTATTGCGCCAATGCAGTCCTGCAAACAACCCACTTCTTTTGTTGCTTAAACAGGTAACAAGTGTTTGGTTTTTCCCATACGTCACCTCCAGTTAATAATAAAAACAAAATAACTGACACTCTTTATTTATATGTGAATAATGGTTTTCAGTAGTACCTTGAACGGTAGGTATTTCCGTCTAGACCGCACGTATGAATGCATACGATGCTGACTGCATGTGGGGCGGCAATGAACTACAATGAACGCTTTCATGGAAGTTAATACGTTATGCACGTGCCGAGACACAGTCTCTCCCGAATGTTGGAACCGTTCTTGAATTTCCCGATTTTGCTTCCCTTTCAACACATGGATAAACATTGCAACGCTTTCTTCAACAGCTAAGCCATGTGGACGTTGCGGGACTTGTAACCCAAAATCATTTACTAATGTCTCACACAAGGCGACAAAAACTTCCTTCGGCATGCAAACATTTTTCTCAAATCGCCCCACATGGCCCGCATATAGTTCGGATATCCATGCATTCCCGGTCAGTATAGAATTGCGACATGGCGTTTTGGCCATGTGTTTTGCGTACCATTCTGTCGCATACTGGCATACTTGTAGAAATGTGCAGTTGTGTTTTTGTTGCACCTGGACCGCCATTTGATTAAGCATTTCCCTTATTCCGTCATTGTTGCTTCCATCCCACGGATTCATTACATCTTCGTTGATGCAAAACCTACAAAAGTAGCACTCTGTCAATTAGTTTGCTTCCCTTTCATTGACTCAAATTATTTGGAAAATTACAATAAACAAATATATTAAAATTGGTTTTCATGTAAGCAATGTCGTCACCACTGTCAGTAGTAACGCGTAGTGGTATGAGTTTCACAAATTGGTAACCTGTTCAACTTCACAACGACCAGGGTCCGATAGTGGTAACAACCACAAAAGTAGACGTCAAAGTAAACTACCAATTAAATTTGCATAATATAGACATACAAAAGCATCCCATTCATTTCTCCAAAAACATGCACAACCATGCTTCCATGAACGACAACCCATGCACTGAACTAAAAGTTTTGTGAACCGTAGGTAGCAATAAAAACCACAAAAAAAAAAAGGAATAAAAACATGCACACACAAACATCCTGTTTTAATACAGTGCCAACATTAAGATAAGTAAAAGTTTCCATAATGCAACAGAAGGACAGGCATCTTCAACACTCTCAACACCGCTACATCACATCCGGCGAGCCCCAAACAGGTTTGCAAAAGGCGCCGACGCAGTACACTAGAGCTGCTTTTGTGTAAGCCACCCTACGATAGAGTCGTCATCAGGCTGGCACATCATCACCTCCCGCAAATCGGCGTTATCCATAAGTGTCGAGGCAAAGTGGAATAACGGCGTACCAAGCAAGGATGGAATACTCGTTAGGCGATGCATGCACTCTGAAATAGTATACAGCGATTTGTTGCCTGTGAGGTGCCTCACCGTAACCTGCTGATTCTTCGTACACACCACATCTGTTAGATTGTTCATGCTTTCCGCAATAACTGATGCTCCACTTGTTGCCTTCTTGGACTTTGAAACACTGCTTGATGGCGTCTTTCTCCTTTTCCCCTTTTCAATCGGAACATGCTCTAGTGAAGAATCTGAATCCACGTCCTGCACTCCTGCGGGTATCGGATCAGCAAATGGCTAGGCTCCCAAACTGTGTGCTGAATCAGATGAGTCGTCAACAGCTTCAGCAAGTTTCTCTCCCGGGGTCCAGTGGTGCTTACCAGTAGTTGATGTCCCCATGAAGACCGTCTCCATCAACTCACGATGTTCCAAGGATTTTTTCCTGAACTTGGCACACATCTTGTTTACCTGCAGAAATACAGATATATGAAAGAGAATTACATTACATTTCATATAAATAATTAAAATTGAACTACAAACTACCAAACATGTACTGGTAAATGACAAATATGAAACTTGTTTGTACATGTACTTACCGATTCCATCTTGTCCCACCACTCCTCATGTGCCTGAAACATACCGGTGTCACTGTTAAAGCCTATCCCTGACACTCCTTTGCTTGAATCTATTAACTTTGTCCACGCTTGCCACTGCTTTTTCAAGCTCATGTACTTTTTCTTCAACTGTTTCTGTCCATGTTTTCTTCCTATTTTTTTCTCAAATTTCCTTGCCAAGGACTTGTACCCTGCTTGGCTGAGGACTAGGAAAGGGCGATTTCCTTTAGTAATCTCATTTGCAATCAACTGTAGGAAAACTCGAATTGAGTCATTGTCCCATGAGATGCACAACCATGCTTCCATGAACGACAACCCATGCACTGAACTAAAAGTTTTGTGAACCGTAGGTAGCAATAAAAACCACAAAAAAAAAGGAATAAAAACATGCACACACAAACATCTTGTTTTAATACAGTGCCAACATTAAGATAAGTAAAAGTTTTCATAATGCAACAGAAGGACAGGCATCTTCAACACTCTCAACACCGCTACATCACATCTGGCGAGCCCCAAACAGGTTTGCAAAAGGCGCCGACGCAGTACACTAGAGCTGCTTTTGTGTAAGCCACCCTACGATAGAGTCGTCATCAGGCTGGCACATCATCACCTCCCGCAAATCGGCGTTATCCATAAGTGTCGAGGCAAAGTGGAATAACGGCGTACCAAGCAAGGATGGAATACTCGTTAGGCGATGCATGCACTCTGAAATAGTATACAGCGATTCGTTGCCTATGAGGTGCCTCACCGTGACCTGCTGATTCTTCGTACACACCACATCTGTTAGATTGTTCATGCTTTCCGCAATAACTGATGCTCCACTTGTTGCCTTCTTGGACTTTGAAACACTGCTTGATGGCGTCTTTCTCCTTTTCCCCTTTTCAATCGGAACATGCTCCAGTGAAGAATCTGAATCCACGTCCTGCACTCCTGCGGGTATCGGATCAGCAAATGGCTAGGCTCCCAAACTGTGTGCTGAATCAGATGAGTCGTCAACAGCTTCAGCAAGTTTCTCTCCCGGGGTCCAGTGGTGCTTACCAGTAGTTGATGTCCCCATGAAGACCGTCTCCATCAACTCACGATGTTCCAAGGATTTTTTCCTGAACTTGGCATACATCTTGTTTACCTGCAGAAATACAGATATATGAAAGAGAATTACATTACATTTCATATAAATAATTAAAATTGAACTACAAACTACCAAACATGTACTGGTAAATGACAAATATGAAACTTGTTTGTACATGTACTTACCGATTCCATCTTGTCCCACCACTCCTCATGTGCCTGAAACATACCGGTGTCACTGTCAAAGCCTATCCCTGACACTCCTTTGCTTGAATCCATTAACTTTGTCCACGCTTGCCACTGCTTTTTCAAGCTCATGTACTTATTCTTCAACTGTTTCTATCCATGTTTTCTTCCTGTTTTTTTCTCAAATTTCCTTGCCAAGGACTTGTACCCTGCTTGGCTGAGGACTAGGAAAGGGCGATTTCCTTTAGTAATCTCATTTGCAATCAACTGTAGGAAAACTCGAATTGAGTCATTGTCCCATGAGGCCTTGTGGCTGAACTGATTATGTGTCTCTTCAAGACTGCTTGACTTGTCAGTGACAATGCCTTTGTTTCTCGATGGGGTACGCGGAGAAGTACGTGTCAAAGCCATTACTAATGTACGGTTACAAAAGATTACCATCACAAATTCGGTTGTTATATACACACGCATACGCCATGACACATTAATAACAACAAACAGAGATATAGGATGCTAAAGTTAAATTTGCATATAACCATTGCACATTAATAACGTACATGCACAGGTTCCATGGAAGTTAGTAGTGGACAAAAATATAATAGTTAGTAATACGGCTCCCATATGTGACAACATATTACTAACATACTACGAACATACTAACTACATACTAACAACATACTGACAACATACTAACGTGTTTCTACATACTGACAACATGGTAACGATGCTTACATACGGCACAACAAAATGACAACGACAATGCATAGCACATACACAATGGTCTTAAGGACACACAAGGATTGTTGAATGTCTATGACATCAGCCCGCAATTGCATGGCAATTTCATCTCCGGGTGACGCATAGTCTTGGTTCTCTCGCCTTCGTTCTTCGCACCAACCAATCCAACTGACACAGGGCTGATGAGTGCAAATTATGGAACTATTAGTTTCATGGGTTGTTAATGTTCATACAGTTATGACCAGTAAAGAATGGTCACTCACCACAGGGCGGGGATAGACAAAGTAGGGACGCCTTGAATTTTTGGTGGACCTGGAAATCTCAACAATACAGGGGCCATGTCCACAGGCACACATTCGTCGTGACCATGTACTGGAAGTTGCACTAGAGGTAAACGAAGCCATGCTATGTTTAACAAACATTCGAAAGTAACAATGAATCATAGCAGTAATTAGTTTATGATATCCACATTTCTGGTTATACATGAACTGAATACGCTGATGCACAAGTTTCATAGGATGGGTATGCGCAATCATTATATGATTAATTGTATATTAAAGAAAAGCAGCGTACCAGTTATGGTTTCATTGTCAACGTGCATACTCAAATGCTAATTTCTAAACTCAAATTATGACAAATTCCCTCATTATATAAACTGGATATTTTCCTTCCTCACATTTTCACCTTCAATTCAAATTATAAGAAATCTCATGCACTGAAATTTTTTTTGACATTTCTGATAAATATGTCAATGAAAACAACAATCAATTACTTTCTACAATATGCAATCTCATGTTCCAATTGCAAGTTTACATTCATGAATCCATTGTATAATAATAGTGTAGTTGAAGTTCCATAGATTTTCTAATAACAGTTTATAATAACAGTGTAATAAGAAGTGAAGTTGAATAACCCTAGAAAAATGTTTTCTCAAATATATGAATGAAGCCAGAGATGAAGACAGATTTTTTGAAGACAAATGGAGACATTCTCAGATTTCTGAAGAGAAAAGCAGAGGGCAAAATCAGATTTCAGATTATTATCAATACATAAATTTAGGTTTTAGGTTTCATATTTTAGCAAAAAAAGTGATTAGGAATTCCACATTTTAGAAACAAATCCGAAATATTACAAATTCAGATTTCATATTTCAAAAAAATGAGATTTCATTCAGCAAAATCAATGAACACTTTGATATGAATTTTTTCATTTTTAATGAGAATTATAAGAAATCAAATGTGAATCCATTCTCAAATTTGTTCAAGACACATGAACAATTTACAAATCAATGAACAATTTACAAACTGAATTATAAGACACATGGAGACATTCTAGATTTATGAAGACAACACTGAAATTTGTTTCACATGGAGACATTGAATTTCTTAATTTAATGATAACATTTCCCATAAATCTGAAAAATCCAAAAAAAAAGAAATGGAACAGACCATAAACAAAATCATGAAATTCAATTTGAAAAAAAGAAAAAATCATAACTAAAAAATGATAACATTTCCCATAAATCAAAGTGAAGATCTGAATTTCCAGTCCATAAACAGGACAAATCCGAATGGTTTCAAAATAAAGAATGACAACATTTCCCATAAATCGACATATACGGGAGTGAAGAATGAAATAGGTCGACCCAATAAAAATCTGAAAAATCCGAAAAAAAAAGAAATGGAACAGACCATAAACAAAATCATGAAATTCAATTTGAAAAAAAGAAAAAATCATGACTAAAAAATATAACATTTCCCATAAATCAAAGTGAAGATCTGAATTTCCAGTCCATAAACAGGACAAATCCGAATGGTTTCAAAATAAAGAACGACAACATTTCCCATAAATCGACATATATGGGAGTGAAGAATGAAATAGGTCGACCCAATAAATGGAACAGATCATGGATGAGGGGTAATTTCGGAGATCAATTTTAGTATAAATAAACAAAACACATGTGTTGAACCAATTTTTTTTTGCAAGATCTAAACAATACAGTTCGGTTATCTCAGATGCCAAACAAAAAAATAACATCCATAGTCCGAAATTTCCGTTTGTACTCAAACACAGCAGATCGGGGTTGAAGGAGATAAAAACAACCGAAAACAAAAACAAAAAAAAAATTGTGTACCTGAGGATTGGTAGTGCCGACGAGGCGATGGTTGCAGTATTACCGCTGATGTGCAGTCCGGTGGGCTTGCGCTATGGACAGCGTCACTTACTGTTCTTCTTCGCCGACGGTAGTCTCTAATTTTCGCCATCCTTCTTCGAAACATAAAGCCCTAGGTGAGGAAAAGAACTTGTCTTGGTTTCGTGTTGCTCTACCTATTGGGAAGGGGGTAGTTTGGTAATTTAGACAGACCCTCAACCACACCATAAGCATGTGCCTTCTTTTTGGACGTTTGTGGCTACTTTAGCCTCTTTTGGACGTTTGTGGCTAATTTAGCCCAAACTTGTCTTTCCAAACACACGCTAAAAACATTTTGGGGCCCTTGATTTTTGTTAGAATTTGGGGGCTCAAGCCGGTAGCCTTGCCAACCTTGAGCCCTAGTGGTAATAGTTTTCTTTTCTAAATTGAAAATCAAGGTTTCCAGTATAACGGCCCCGTTTGGTGTAACAGTTAAAACAGCTTAAAGATTATGACTTTAATCAGAAATTGTTAATTTGTTTGGTGTAGCTGTTGGATTATAGATTTAAGTTGCTGAGTAGTGTTTGTTAAATAAGTGGTAAAATAGCTTTTTCAATTAATTTTTATTTTTTGTTTGTCTACATTTCTCATAAAAAAATAATAATAATAATCTATAGTCCATTTGGGTCTTTTTCTATTTTAAAAAAAAATAAAAAATAAAAAAATCCAAGAGTATAATCATAAATTAATTTGTTCACAACAGAAGCTGATAATCAGAAGTAAGGGGTGAGCAGCTTCTCAGAATCAGCTTTTTTGAGTTAAAATAAGCTATTAGAATAAAAAACTGTTTGAAATAAGTTTAACCAAATAATCCAAAATAACTTTTTTAAAGCTACAAGCTATAAGTTAGTTTTGAAAAGCTAAAACAAACACCCCAAACGTTCACTTAATATATGTATATATATATTATAATTTCAAATACTAATTTGATAAAAAAAAATAAAAAAGAAAACTCATTAATTTTATGTGGTTTTCATTTCGTTTTGGGTAAAAATAATTTTTAAAAATTAAAAAAAATCCCTTTTTTTTCTTTTGCCAAATTATGATTTTAAAAAATAAAAATGATATACAAACTCACACAATTTGAAATGATAACTCCACACGACTTCTTGTTTTATTCCTAAAGAAATTTGGCAGAAATTCTTCCAAGGTAGACTAATAAAAGTCTTACCAATCATTGATTATAGGGGAAATTACATTTACTTTCCTTGAAATTTAATAAAATTACAGAAATCTCCCTTAAAATTTTTAAAATGACTTAAATCTCTCTTGACATTTAGTTTTTAATTGCATTGATCTCCTCTGAGATTTAATGAAATGTAGAAACTTTCCTAAAGTTTCTAAAATGACAGAAATCTCTCTTGAAATTTAATTTTCAATTATACCGACCTCTCCTAAGATTTAATCAAATTACAAAAATATTTCCTAAGGTTTTGAAATGATAGAAACCTCCCTTGAGTAATTTTTTTATTATTGATTCGCTTTTTTCTTACTTTATCATAAATAAATAATAGAAAATATTAACATCATTAAATAATTTAATTACATTTTTAATTTACCATTTTAAATTGTATCCAATTACAAATAAGTAAAAAATACAATTTATATTTTCTCTCTTTATTATGCCTATAATTATTGTTGATTGCATGTGCCTCCTTTATCCAAAATCCTTCAACATCATAAAAAAATGTTGACATAAACAAATAATTTAATTACATTTTCAATTTTACCCTTTAAAAATGTATCCAATTACAATGAAATAAAATAAAAAATACAATTTCTTGGTGTTTTGGATAAACAAGCATTCATTTTGTTTTATATATATATTTTTGTAATTGGACACAATTTTAAACGGCAAATTAAATATATAATTAAATTATTTAATGATGTCAATATTTTTTCTATTATTTGTTTATGATTAAGTAATAGAAGAGGAAATCAGTAATAAAAAAATTATGCCTCAAGTGAGGTTTTCGTCATTTCAAAAACGTTAGGAAATGTTTCTGTAATTTGATATCGGAGGGGGTTTTTCTGTCAAGAGAGGTTTCTACATTTCATTAAACCTCTGGGGAGGTCAACGCAATTGAAAACTAAATCTCAAGAAATGTTTAAATCATTTCAAAAACCTCAGGGGAGATTTCTACAATTCCATTGAACCTTGGGAGAGGTAAGTGTAATTTATCCTTGATTATATATACCCTGGAGACGGTGGTGATATCATCATTTTTTTTTTAGAAAATAAGATTGTAAATTATATGATTGAATTCAAAATTTAAAAATTGAAATGAATTTGAAAAAATTAAAACTTCAGAGATTCAAAGAAATTTTTTTTTGAATTTATTGAACAACTATCCATATAACTGATATATAGATATTTTGGGAAAACACAAAATATGAGACATAAACATTATGAGAAGGCTTCACATTATAATAGTATAAATAATATCTAGTTTAAATTTGTTATAGTGTTTATATATACAAA